AAAAAAACGGAAAAAAAAAAAAAAAAAGGAGATAAGGAAACAAAAAGGAAACCCTTTAGGTAGTTGTAAAGTCGGGATTTTCTTTTCTTTTTCAATTCATATTATTGAGTGAAGGCAATCTATGTGTCTCTTTGGGTGCGTGTGGTGTATGGTGTGCGCTCAAGCAGACATGCTTGTTAGGAATACAAGCCATGATTCAATTTCCATCTTCATATTGGAGGGCTCCATTTTCAGGTTACGAACTACCAGCATGTTAAGAAATACAGCATAGCCCCCCGGCCCCCAATATTATTTAGGCTTTTTATACTCCACGATATGAGGCTAAGATGAAGCATATTCTTTTATAATGGTAAATATGCACGTGGTAGGAGGCTCTCTCCAACTTTTCAATGTCTATCCACAGCTCAAATTTCCAGGCAGTGGGATACTCGTATGCAACTCTTGATAGATAGGCAATTTCAGAAATGTTCTGTTATACGCTGTCCGGTTATTAAATCCACACTTTATCAGTGAAGTAAGATTTTGAAAAAAAATAAAAATTTGATAAAATAAAAATTTTTTATTTTTTTACAATAATAATTCATTAATAAAGAATTAAGATTTGAGGACATGCATCATATATTTTTTCCATAGTAAAAATAGATATTGTATTTTTCTCTATTCTCCCCCAGAATGAAGCTAAAATAACATGTTCGAGTCAAGCAAAAATAAGAGCTGCATTGTTTACTAGATGTTGAGCCAATACCAATCTGTATTAGCCAACGATTTACCCCTAAGTGCTCCACTCAAGGCATACCAACTATAGAACTGAAAATACTATACTATATAAGCAGTTTAATTCGATTAACCATAGGTGGACTGTAGATGTCCTTTCGATAGTTAATTAGATGGGAACAAACAAAAACCATCATCAGTCCTTGCCCCATCTACCTGTAGCCTAGAACTAATGGGCTGGGGTTAACATGCTATGCAACTTGGCCAACATCTGTGCTGCAGCTGATCCTCTTGCTTCCGAGGGTTTAGGACAAGCATCGCCCACGCTTGAAGACTCAATATTCACCCCTTTTACAGTTACTTTGGCTTGATATCCACCTTCAAAATTCAAAATAGACTTATTAGTTCTTGCATATTTTTCTTGTTTTGTTAACACTTCATTCCAAAGCAATTAAAGGCCATACAGTAGATAACAAGGTAATTTGTTAAAAACATCTCGCAGTTAGAGAAACATGACTTGAACACGAAGGAAGCAATCAAAAGCCTATCGCAGAACAATCATTCCTCAAAAATCTCATCATTTCCAGATCGAGAGACAGGAGTAGCTATAGCATTTATACCGTATTAAATTGTATAACATATTTCTGAATGTACCTTGAAGTAAAAGATCTTACCATCTGATGGAAATACATGATAAGTTGGTAACATCCAATTGTTCTTGTTGCATATACCATCCAACTCCTGCTGGATGAGAAAAATTTTAATCATTATATGCTAAACAAGGGAAAAGCATAAAAGTTCCAATTTGGAATTACAGCTTCAGCTAGTACTTTAAGGGCTTCAAATATATGAAAATGGTCAATACTAAGATACTACCCCATCCCTAAGGAATTACCACTTCTTCAATTTTTGTATTCCCATAATCAATGTCTTACCACTTATCAAGAGCTATACTTTTAGGTATTTTACTTTCCAATTTACCTTTCAAGAGATCACATTGAGATTTGCGCATTCTTATACTCTGCTTGCTAAAGGATAGTTTTTGGAAGACAATTTTAACTTCTAAGTTCATTTTGAAGCTTGTGTCATTTTTTATGGAGACAATGATGGAAAGAGGTATTATAACTTCTGTAATATAGTACACAATAGATCTCCAGGTGAACGGCTGCCTCTATTTATTGGCATTCAAGCATTTTGTGTTAAAGCAATCACTTTCAAGGATAAGGCTTCGTTTGCTTTGGCGTAAAATATTTTCCAAAAAGAGTTTTCAGGACTTATACTTGTTTGGAAAACTAAAATTTATTCCAGATGTGAAACAGTTTACGAGTCAACGGGAAAAACCCTTGTTGACCACATCTCCGGAGAACTGAAAAAAGGTTTAGATCTAAAGAATGTTGAGAGTTATTTAGATTTAAAAATCCTAATAATGATTTAGGTCTAACAATCCATGGTTTCTTAGAAGGTACCCTTTGTATAAAATTTTTAAAATTAGAGTCATAGTGGAAAATATTTTTTACAAGTTGATCCAAAAGACAGAAAATGTTTTCGACGGTTTATCCATATAACAGAAAACATTAAATGTTCCTGCAAAATATTTTACACAGAAATAAATTTTCCCCAATGAAGTTATTTTTCACTTACCAAATGGACCGTAAAATAATATTCGAACTCAAATGGAAAGAAAAGCAGAAGTCTTTTGGCTAAACTTGCCTGACATGGATTTTGCGTGCTGAGAGCTTCCTCTGACAATCTGTTTCTTTTAATGTAATGAGTTGAACATTGTTCTTCATAATCACGGGATGTCCTCCCTTGGCCAGCACTCCTTAGACAAACATCATTACAACCTTCTATGATCGAGTCTATCTTTAATTCCAAATCATCTTCCCCACCTATACAAAGTTGGAAAGAAATATTAACAAATCAGCTTTGAGCTATTTAAATTTACTCCAGGCCCTGAGTTGTTTAACCCAAGTCATAGAGTAAAGGGACCTGCAACTTTCTAACCTGTAACCTTTGATCTTGCCTTAACAGTTCCATAGAGATAGCAAAGGATCAATTAATAAGGACTATGAAATTAGTAAGCATGTGCACCTCTTCTGGTTTAAATAAAAGAACTAGCACTCGATGTCTTGCTCTGCACAACTGACTTAGTAAGTTAGGTGATTGAACTGGAATTTATCTCCTAAAGCAATTAGAACTCCATAATGCATTAAAGCTCATGCTATTTTTAACAGACTAATTTGCTGAACAGGATTTGTGACGTCAGGTAGGCCCTAAAAGCTAAATGAACCTCATAAGAGTAATGTAATCTCCATATAGATTGTATTTAACACATTCCAAGTAAGTAATTTCTGAAACTTTGTTTATTAACTTTAATTATGCTGTTTATGACTTAGAAAATAATGGTCTACCGACAAAGAGAGTAATGGAACTTAAATAAGGTGAGTCCAGAATGGCAATAAAATAAAGAAAAGAAAGAAATTAAAGAAAAAAAAAGAGAGACAAGCAAAAGAAGGTGAGTCCTGGAGAAAACAATCATCAACTAAATTTCAGAAGCCCCTCTAGCAAATGTAATTTACATCTCAGAAAGTACATAATGCTTGACTTTAACTCGTAGCATAGTAAAGAGAGTTAAACAGTCTATCAGCACAGTAAGCCTTGTATATATAATCACCCATTTAGTTGCTGCGCATTTAGCAATAGCTAAAACGGCATATTAGGAAAGGTAAAAATCTAAAATAAGAATCCAAAATGTGATTACCATTTCTTGCATTTCAATGAAAATGACTGGAACTTCACATTGGAAAAGTGAACAGAATTCCTGGTCACCAGAAAATCCATGTAGCTACTAGACTCAATATGCAAACTTCAGACTGTCATTTTCAAGGCCACCCACCCACTCAGTTCACTCAACATTCACACCCTTCTCAAAAGACAAAAAAAAAGGCAAAACCAAAAGCAAAAACTACCCGTCTTTCTCTGATTTTGGGGTATTTCTGCATGTACAGGTGGGCATGAATATTTTCTGCCCCTTTGCTTTTTGTTTCTTGTGTTCTGTGGCTGAACTGTGTTGCCATTTAGGACCCTTGTAACAGGGGACTTGTTGCTTTTTCGTGGCAGAATTGTGTGGCCCGTTAGGTCTCTTTGCAACAGGGGATTAGCAGCTGAAGGGCCTTTTCTCTACCCACTCTGCTTTTTTCTGGCAACCCCCTTGCCAGCTCTTTCAATGAAATGTTCATGCTCTTCAAAAAAAAATATATACACAAGCAGATGACTCTGGTTGATTGTGACTACACAAAAATTGGATCCATTTTAGTGTGTTAGAGCAGGGTGGCACACTAATCACTAATCAAAAATACAGTACTATAAAAGAAAAATAGGAAAGGACAGAGCATATCATCGATGAAGAAGATGAAGCATAAAACAAGAGTAATGGAAAAAAATACCATTCAAAATAGTTTGGATCTTTTTATCACACTGAGCAATCTCATCTCCAATATTGCGTAGCTGACGAACCTGCAGATGAAACAAATATGAGATAAAGGAGAATGAATATCTTCAAAATGGGACTTTCAAGGATAAATTATAGGCGATTGTATTCAGATGTTTTAAGACTGCTGCCTATACACAGGTTATCTAACTAGATATTACCAATATCATCGACAGAATATATGTGGTCAGCATACTACTACAAGTTCAACTGTCTTTGTGTGATTGATTAGTCAAAGAAGGCATGCACCTTAACCACCATTGGACAAATGAAAAAAATTAAAAAAACCAATCATACCAGTCTATCCCTTTTTCTATGTAGAACTCTCCAAGCAGTTTCCGACAAGATGTGTTCCTTTGAGGCTATGATGTTTTGTAGTTTGGCAGAATATTTGGAGTTGGACTCATGAATAACCAAAGGATGATTGCCTGTAGGCATCCCATCCTGACAAGAAGGCATATTTTTGCATGCTGCTTTTCTAGAATGACTAATGCTTTGAAATATCGAATCAACCACCTCAAACTGCACCCAAATTTCAGGATTACATTTGATACAATAACTAAAGAGTAGACAAGAAAAGAATGGTGAAGCTTAAAAGGTTAAACAAAGCACCAACAAATAACTGAATGATAAACAAAAGCCTAGCTTCCTTGGACTGTTTGATCCATAGCATAAGCTTCTTCTTAAACTAAAAAGTTGTTTTACAAAGGGGCTTACAAGGAACCAAATAGGGGGTGAGATTTCTGCCAACGTGGAACAGAGATACTGGTCTGGTCTCCATGTGTATGCCCAACAAACCCCCTTCAAAAACTGACAAACTAATACTCTTTTTAATTTATATAGTTATTTTGGCATGCATCAGTAGATCCACTCAACATGGTTAAGTGCTGAGTGCTGAAATAAAAAACATCCTTAGTGTACCTTGTTAATAATAAAAATTCTCAAACCTAATGAACATTTTTCAATGGTTAACTCAACATGGTTATGTCGTAAGTGCTGAAAAAAATTCCAGAAGTTGATATTATATAAAATATTCCTAGTGAATCATGTTAACTGCAAAGAAATACAGTATCTAGTTCCTTTGTATAGAATAAAAACTCTCTAATCTAATTAGCATTTTTCAATTGTTGACATATCAAAAGCAGTTAGTAGCCCACACCTTAGCAACATTTGTCGCACCATCGGAGTCGCTCTCTGCAAAAGAATTCATCTTTAGCTGAGCATCATGTTGGACTTTCTCAGCAATATTATTGCATGTTAATGTTTGTTCAGAGTAAACCACAAAATTGTTGTTCACATCCATATGCCAAGGCCCATCGATAGCATCCAAGAGGCCATCTGTGCAAAGCTCATTCTTCTCATTCTGATTTTCTAATTCAGCATTGGTGCTGTTACTGAGAGCCTCTACTACGCCACTAATCATATTTCTATTTCTGTTATTACAGGCTTCTGGCTCACAAGGGTTTTCTGTCATCTCAGGGCCATATTCATTTACCACTTCCAGTACTGACTCCTGATCCTGTGAACTGTTTGGAAGAACATCCCCGCAACAGAAATTGTAAAGGGATAATCAGAAAAATAAAAAAAGGAAGAAACATGCATACATACACAGGCACACAAACATAAATAACATTAGTGAGATACGGCAGAAGTAATCCATACAAATATCCATTTAAATAGGAAACTTGGGTGGTAAGTGAACTCAAGTCCAGTGACAGCAACCACCGAAGGCAGGCTAAGGTTGGGAGCTCAAGGAGGCTTTATTAGTTAAAATTCTCATGTAATTTATATTTCTTCGAGTTAAACATTGCAGGTTTGATCTCATTGGCCCTTTTTCTTCAGTTTCAAGTGTTAGGGACTACTCTGGTAACTTCAGAGTTGCAATAAACACAAGATTTTGAGTCCAAGGGTCTTGTTTTAGGCATTTCTTATGTTATTGGGTTCTCCTTTGCAGTTTAGGAGATTGTTTTAAGTCAATTTTGTTAGTTTCTATTTTGGATCTCAAACAAGGTAATGCTTTCACTAATAGAAACCTATTTTCAAGGATTCAGAATTAGTACCCTTTGTGAATGTATGAAGCAGTCAACCAAAGGTGTAATGCCCAAGGAACCCTACTTGTGCAGCTTGGGACTTTCTTCTTCTCCTTCAATTCAATTTTGTTGAGTTTCAACTAAAATTCAGAACTGAAATAAGTTGATTTAGCAGTAAAATCATAAATTCTACTTCTCATGACCCCAGTCCTACCTACATTAATTCACCTATAGAATTCAACCCTAACTTCAAACACTGTTCAGCCACTGTATGTAAAACCTGGACAGCACCTAACAACTAGCTAGACCACCAATTTCTCCTTTGACCTTGACTCCAGAATGCATTTTGACCATTTTTTATCATCTTTTTAACCCTCAAAGAACCTTGGAAGTAACTTTAAAAGCCAAACAACCTCAGTGTCCCATATCACAGTGTGAACGGATAATCTTCCAAGCATATACTAAAACAAATGCGAGGCACCTAAGGAAGGTAAGCCTGATCGGTGGCCAAACCGAAGGCATACTTCTAGAACAATTATTTTTCTGTTAGGGACAACAGAGTTTGATAGGGATATAAATATTTCTTTAGAAAAGCTTAGCCAAATATTTAAACTCTAGTATCAGTATCATGGTACATGTGGTAAAGTGAAACGTTCAAGTTGATGACAAATCCTATATTCCCAAATATTAAGATCTAGTGCTCAGGTGAGTGATGAGAACTCCACGAAATCCAAATCCAACTTGCAAGAGCTTTATGCAGAGAAATCATAACTTCTAAATTAAAAGCATGCAGATAATAGTGTATTGCAGCATATATACTAATCTTCAATATTTTTCCTCTAATTATAGATCAACCAAACATCTCAAAAACAGTGTTTCCCATCCTTATTTTTTGTGTTAGTCCTTACGATTAAATCCAAACATCAAACATCCCCCAATCAAACAGTTCAATGAACTTTGTATCACATTGGAAATTGTGCATGACACAATTGACATCATACATAATTTCTCTAAGTAGACAAACATTTGCATTTTCCAAGATTGAAACATATATTGGTTTTTCCACATTTAAAAATATGATTTTATCTCTCTTCTAACAGAGAGAAGCACTAACCTACAATATAGAGCAAATTTATCATTTAATAACAACTCCCAAATAACATCCAGGAAAATGTCATTTAATAACAATCTAACCCTTTTCCCACTATGCAAGGGGATGTAATTTAGCCTACATTAAATAAATATCACAAACCTCAAGAACCATTGAGAAATGATCCATACAAAAGGAAGCAGGTGGAAGTATTCAACAGCAGAAGAGTGCATCCAGTGGGAGAAATTTCTTTTGACTAAAGGACCCTGCAAGCTAATAAAGCAAGAGGCTTAATCAGCAAATTTACAGTGTTAATTTTCTAGTCAAAAAGGTAAATATGCAACAAAGCAATAAAATGGTAACCAATTCAACCATGTTCTATCAGCTCTATTTTCCATTATTTATACAACTCTACTTTACAGTGTTAGTCTCTTACCGGCTTGATCTGTTATTTTACTAAATTAATTGGTACCTCAATTTTTCCCTCCTCTGCGAGTAGGTACTTACAAACTGTCACTCTCCTACATTATCTAACCATTTCTATTACTTGATTTATCAGTTTTTAACATTTTGTACTATTTCTAAAAATTTTGTTGGGACTCACTTAGGATCCATTTTAGTTGATACTACTTACGTTTTGTCTTCAAAAAAGTTATCATAAAGCAAAAACAAATAGTAGTAAAAGGCAAAATCATATTTGATAAAGATGAGTAAGTGACCAAACTAATTTAAACACATAGTTCTACATAGAAGTAAAAGTACACATTCTTTACACATGAAAGTCAAATGATAGGTTTTTAATTTTCCAAAAATTTTTTTGCTTTGAGATGCAAACACACTTTACGTATTGCTTTAGGGAGCAAAAACAAGTCATAAAAGCAATGACCAAGTGAAGCCTTACTTAATCATCATTCAAAAGAAAAGACTTGATACATAAAATGGTCCACGGTATCAAGTCCGACCACAATCATACAAATGTCCAACTGCTATCAGTTCTATATCACAACCGTGCAAATGTGCATTATCCCAGTTCCTACAATGACAACTCATGATATTGAAAACTTTCACAATGATATAACTTATGACTGGAAGACAATTGCAGTGAAAGCATGTGACAATAAAGTGCATTCAGCCGTCCGTCTTCATCTCTATGATAAGTGCATCACTCTATTGATGTAATTAATATCACTCTCAAGCGTGAAATCTTGTTACCTAAATAATCATTCACTAACCAGTCTGGACTCTAGAAATTAAAAACAGGTAGATGAACTCTATGATATGCTCATGTACAATACCAAACCAAACACATAGCATTTGGAAAGAGAATAACACTAACCCAATTAATATCTTAAAAACATCCCTTTGACACCACCCAGAGAGGAAATACCAGAAAACAGAGATCACATGACAAGCAAATAAAGATAAAATAAATGGCATTGACTAAAATCAAACCTGTCAATACATCCTTAATTGGTATCCAAAGAGAACTATCTTTTTCTGCATGAACGCACTGCATTATGTAAAGCGAGTGGCTGTCTTTTCTTTACTCAAAGAATATACAATATGGCTCTCTATGATGGTGAGGTCACTTTGACTGATGCCTGTTCCATGCATAAGTCGTTAATTACCAACTTATCCACAAATCGTCCAACAATTAAAACCATATTAGAAAAAAAAAAGGATAATAATTTATGTAAAAGCTATTTCTCAGTCCAACAAACTCAGAGATGCAGCTGGTCACAAAATACATGGTCTATGTGTGTGAACATGTATGCATGTGTTTGTATTGGTTTGTTGGTTCTTTAGCTAAGCACAAGTGGACATTAAAAGGACTGCATAGTTGAGGCATCAGGCTACTACCGATACACAAGTTTAGCCAAAATCATAAATTCTTCAAGAACAAAGAAGCATAATTGGAAGTTGCTAGGTCACTACTCACTAGTGCAATTATTTTTCAGCTTATCAACTTTCAAATCTAGTGTTACTTTGATAACTTTTCTGTTGGCCCACTAGGTCTTATCCTGGGTGTAGTTAGTTATTAGGATTATTTTAACTCTTTAATTTAAAAATATAGGGCTTTATTCCTTTATCAGATGATTTCAGGAAAGCAGCTCCAATTTAGAATTAGCATATACATACATACATACATACATACATATAATATATATAGACACATTATTTTCTCCCTTCATACTTTTTCTTCTTTCAACTTTCTATTATTACAGTATCCGGGTAGTTCTTGCTGACAAAAAAGGAATAGCACCAATGAACCTGCTCTATTGTAATCTTTCCACTACTCACAATTTCCAACAAACAACTTCATTCAATTCCATCCAATTTTTTGTCATTAGATTCTTACAGTTTAACGCTGAAATCCATTCTCTATACTAACAAACCTAAAACCTACTTTTCCAAACCTAGGCCAGTATAGACCTAACTGTTAGTTTATTGAATCAGTCCTTCGCTACATTCCTTGATATAAACAGCATAAATGAAATTAAATCAGTTTAATACAGCCTAATCCTAATCCTTTGAGGTTTTGAAGCAACATCTTTTACCTTAAAATCCAAGCTGCTGACTTAATGGTTATATCATTTTTCCTAATAATACTTTTATGATTGTAATTGTACTGCTAAATAATTTAAGCATATCATATCAAATGTGTATAAGCTGACATCTAACTTGGTTTGTTGGGAGCAAACAAGGATTCTTCAAAGTGAATAAAATTTTCTGCAACCATTGACTCTTTCTCAACGAGGAACATGATTATTCTGTCAAACAAGATGCAAACAAGACAATAGTCAACTCAAAGTCGATACAGCTAAATGCTAATTCCTCAAGACTTTAATTGAAGCAACTACTTTAAATTCAGGATTTCAAGCTTTTAATATTTGCTACACTAAAAGGCTAACAATGAGATTCTTTACTATTAACTGCCTGGAATCCATATTTAACAAATCATTCAACAATTAACGTAAAGTGTTGGTGGTTTACCATTATTTGTTGCTTCCTTGACAGCTGAGAAAGCAACTTGCTGGAAGCAACTTTCATCAGCACCCAATTCATCTTGCAAAGGTTTATTAGGGGTTCTTTTTCTTTTGTTCATATGGTTTTTTTTTGTTGGGTTTTTGTTCATATGTTTTGCCTCAGTAGAACCATCTGAACTGCAACAGAACACAGGCACATCTTTTTCAATTACTGACCATACACCCTCAGCAATGCTACCATTCTGCAAGGCACAATTCTGTTTCCTCAGGTCAATTAAAAAAATAGCAACTTTTGAAACTGGCCATCCCTTTGTGCTTGGAACATCCCTTGATGCATCTAAACTTGTAGATATATCACATGCATCCTTGATGGCTTTCTCTGTCAAGGAAAGCTGCTTCTCAAGGTCACTCAATTCAGTATCATCAGACCTTAGCATGAGATTCATATAAGACTTCAGATTTGGTTTTGCAACTAAAGCCAACTTACAAAATGGCTCAAAACCAAGATACTCCAAGTGTGGATGTCTTTGCCGGTGATAATAGTTGTAAAGCAACACAACAGCATGCACCTAAAGGAGAATTACAAAAGAAAAAGAAGAAATATAAGAGTTGGATTATACTGACCACACATATATGCATCTATTCTTGAAAGGGGGTGCTTGCGCATTTCTACAACCCTCTAGCATAGACATCAACTTCTGACTAAACCTTTTTAAATAACTACTTCTAGTCATTCCTGCATGGTACAAGCTCATTTTAAACAAATCACCAGTAGACAATTCATTAGCCTTTTCACACCTCCTCCTCTTGTAAAAATTTAAGATGAATGCACATTGAATATAAACAAAGCATTAAAAGTGCATATATTAAGAAAAAAACACATGGTATACTAAGTCATACTCCCATTTCAATCTAATACTATTAGAACCCCAAATTTTGCACCAAATGAATTGCATTCTCCTCATTCTTCTTCACTTAATCTGTGTCCAGAATTCACTAATACAAAAGGGACGTAAGAGGAGAAGCATAAAAATTCTCCATCACTGGTTAGCTAAAGCAATTTATCTTATCAAAAAACATGAATCCCCTGTCATGAAGAGTATGTAATAGATTATGGATGTGCATGACAAAACAAAAATATAGTATTTGGACGTGAAGGAAAGGCACCTGTTTTGCGACTGCCTGCTGTTTATCTAGTGTTGGAGTTTCCCATATAGAATATTTACTAGGTAGCATAGGCTCAACCAAGTAGTCCAAAAATGCTTGAATAGCATCCTCAGTTGGACACACGTTTGAGGTGTCCATGCTCTCTAGCCTGCCTAAGCACTACTCTTCTCGAATAATTATATCTATACACCAGCAAAGAAAATTTCTGGAAATCAACACGTTAGTCTCTTTAGGGTTTATTCATCAAAAGAAACCTATTGAATTACACATTTAATAGCAGTCCAAGCAAGCAAACACTATGCTAAAATGCATATTATTTACAAATAAGGTTCAATTCTTAAGGTATTCTGAAGATTTCCAAGTCACTAACATGCTCAAACATCAACAAGAAAAATCACATAACAAAATTGAGACCCCTGATTCCTTCTCTAAGGCTTATCTAACAGTACAAATTGAAACCAATAAGTGCATGTGTGAAACAAATTAAAGCAAAAAAATATGTCCAAGAAAAATCATAAATTCTTTTCAAAAAAAAGAAAACCCAAATTTTGACTGTTACATCAGAACTTGAAAAACTAATCATGGCAACAAATATCAAATCTTTTATGTCTAGAATAATTTCCCTTTTCCAAACATATAAAATATTTAACCCCACAGGAAAATTTTAAGCAAGAAAAACAAAACACATTAAAGCAATCCAAAAAAAATTTACAATTCTTTTTCACAAAACCCAAAACTTCCTAACAATGTAGACGCTCGTTTGTTTTTAGCCAAAAAAATTTCTCTTAATAAGCAAGAAAGCACCAGGAAAAATGGAAAATAATGATTAAACATAAAGAAAATAGAGAATGTACCAATTTTTTCCTTTTAAAAAAAAAAAGCGAGGGAGAGAGATGAAAACAGATTTTGGGGCTTTTGATTTTCTTTGTTTTTTTGTTTGAAATTGAGAGTTATTGTAGTCAGTGAGCTCTCTCACTGATCACTATTTTCCTTTTTTGGAGCCCGGGGAGAGCAAAGAAAGTGTTGGCCTTTATAAGTAACGGAAGATCATTTATTGTGATGCAAGGCGACGTCGTTTCTTTGATCCTCTCATGTTCACTCGGTGATGGCGCCAACGCCTCTTGGATTTTCCTAATTTAATAATAATATTTGACAAATTTAAATATAAAAAATAATATATTCATGTATCTAACCAATCAAAAGAAATCCTCACCTTTTTAAATTTAAGTATATTTTTCAATTAGCCACTTAATTTCAAATGTAAAGTAAAAATAATATATTATCTTACTAATAGTTATATTTATTAGAACTTTCACTTTACATTATATATAATGATTTTTATTATTTTTACACATTTATACTAATATTTTAAGAAGATCAATTTCATTTTAAATTAATATCTTATTCATTTAATTAAACTATCATATCCTATTAGAATATTTTTGAATCAAAAATTATATATACCATCATGTAAAAGACTCTGTATCGGTATTTTCAACTTAATTTTATAGGTCTATATCCATGGATAAGGTTTAAAATTATCTTTTCAATATGAAATTTATGACATTTTCTTTTATAGTGTGTGCTTTAATAATATACACACTTTCAATTAAAAAGATATGTTTGATAAGTGAAAAAAGATTTTTTTTTAATATAAAATCTAACTCATTTCTTACTAATATTATATATATAACATTATATTTTGTCCAATTGTAAGTTACATTGGCCCTTCACCTATAAAATTTTTTTTTTAATATTGATTAAGTCTATTTTAATTATTATATCGTTCATAAAAATTTTACATCAGTGAAAATTTTGATTTATTATGATACCATCATCGAATTAATATCTTTTTCTATAAAAGCTAACTTAATGGTGCTGTGTCATTGCTTATAAAACATCTAAAAACTCCCGATATGCTCAATTTAGTATTTTTAGAAGCATCTTGTTTATTTATTTCTTGAAGTTACTTACTTGCTCGCTCTTGGTGGTGCTTGGTATGGAACTGGATCAAAGATCAATCATTTTTTCATAAATTTATATTTTTAATTTAAAAAATATATTTAATAAATAAAAAAATTAATTTTAAATTCAAAACTCATATATTTTTTACTGAAGAGCCTCACTCTAGTTAACATTTAGTTAAACTTTAAGATTTAATAACACTTATCACAATTCCGCAATGTTAATCTATTTTCGACAATCAGTGATGCTTACACTAAATAAGGCCACAAAACATAAATCTATGCTACAAGTGTCCGGCTGTTCGCTATGCCTTTTCATTTTTTTTCTTCTCTTCTTTATCAATTTTTCACCACAAATCCAAAAAATAAGAAAAAGAGAAAAAAAAAATCATGCTAAACCAGAGACTCTGGAATCTTCAAGAAACAACAAATTTTGCATCAGCGAATCCCATCCACTCGTTTCCAATCACGCCGGGATCTGGTGGGACCCAACGTTAATAAAAGTAAATTAAAAAAAATAAGGAGAAAGAAAAAGGCAAAAGGAAAAGGAGAGCTTTATAAGCAGTTAAAAGCACCGGATTTCCTATTCCAGTTTCTTCACAGTAGTAATAGTTGCAATTTGTTAAGAGTCGTTTTAGCTAAAGGGCAAGGAAGTTACAAAACAAGCAGGCAGATTCCCGTTATGGCGGTTGTTGCAGGGACAGCAACCACGTCGTCGTTCACTCTGGTGAAGCTTCAGCATCTTCCGTCAGCTCCTACTTGGAGGAAATCCGGGGTCGGGAAGCAAAACCCAGGAGGAAAAGTAGGTTCGAAATTTATGGGTGTGAAAGCGAGGTTTGGCTCTTTCAAGAGTGGGGGTGCTGGTGTGTTGGAACGACCCAGTTTGGACCAGTCCCAGTTCGACCCTTCTACTCAAGTTCTTGAAGGTAAGATTCGATTTTTTTTTTCTTGCTTTTGATTTTCCTGTCAAAGGTTTCGTTTCTTCTGGTTAAAAGAAGATGGACATAGGAAATCTTAATTTGGGTTTTTGTTTTCTTTACTTCTTTTTTCATTTTAATTAATTGTAAGAATTATTAATGTAAATGTTCGTTTCTTTTGAATAAAAAACAATGGTTTTACTCTAAATTTAAGTACTAACCTTAAACACAATTGCTAGTAAGAAACAGAAGATTGACAAGATCGGAAAGAAATGGAAAATTGTGGAGTTCAACTTTTAGAATCTTCTCAATTGGAGAAAATGAAATGAACGAGTCTGTGATGTTTCCCTTTACGATGACGCGGTTCCATTTTCGTTGCTCGCTTCAGTTTTTCATCATTTTTTTTAGTACAAAGCATGAATGTTTAATCTTTTTCTGGTTTTTATATTATTAAGGATGGCTTTGTCCGTATGTAAAAGTACCCTTTTTTTTTTCCTCAAAGGATGTAGCTATTATTTAGACAAACGAGAAACAACCAAAGACTTATCCAATTAGATCCTTGTTTCTATCTCTCGACAAAATATTGGCCAGTTGTATCATTTGTGTTGATCCCTGGTAGGAAACTCATGTTTTAGAGTGAATGGCATATTTTGTTTCATTGCTTTCGCATGCCAGGGATGCCTTCTTTTCAGTCCATAGTGCAAGGGATGTCTTCATTTCAGTCCCTTGATGGATAATTCATTTGCTTAGTAATTTTATTTCTTATGATCGCAGGTGGCAATATTGGGCGCTTGAGGGATAAGAAAAGCACTGGCAGAGGAGACAGTTATAGAGTTCTGCTGATTGATGATGCTCGCCATTCAGAAAACTTGGGTAATTTTATTTGTTTAATTTTAAGCACGTGTAAAAATGAAATTAGTTGATGTAGTCTAGAAGTTAATATCTAAAGTTTTATTGTTAAGCAGCTTTTATACAAACCACGTGTCACCACTCTATCAAACAAACTAAGCAGTAAAAACATTAGTCTTATTTGAAAATTGATCAAGAGATTGCCATCAGTTTGTGTTTTCTTTTGCATTTTTAACAAATGGGGCAAGACTTGTGATAATTTGTCTTATTCTTGTGATTCTCTTCCAGTTGCAAAGGTTTTGCCCCAAATTGTTCCATCTGTTACACCTGATGGTGCAAGAAAACTATTTCATGTATCGCGAGAAAATGGAGTGGCAGTTGTAATCGTCACAGTTAAGGTATGTTTCTTCTTTGGTGTTATGAACTTTATTTCTATGATATGGATTTTGGGCTTGTTTTTTATATTGTTCTGTGCATTATTTATATTCATTCTTTCCTTTTTCTTGGTTTATTTTATTTTCTTTTTGTTAATAATAATTGATATTCACTTAAGCCTACTACTTGTGTGTTTAAGTTTACTTTGTCTAGGTGTATGTTCATAGACTTGTATGTTTTTGTTTTTGCATTTGCTCTGTTATTCGAATGAACATATCAAGCTTTTGATTAAGAGTTAAGGATGCAAGTATGTTAGACGTGTTCTTAGGGCAGCTGTGTTGCCCCCCTATGCTAAATCATTTTGTTTATTTTAGACGTGTTTAACTTCTGCTTTGAGAAGCACCATTGTGGAATATGGTCATATAAAGTTGATCACTCTTATAAGGATATGCTGGTTCTTTACTTTAAGGAGATTTTACCATAAATATTCAATTAAAAAATGGACTAAGCTAGTAATCTTCCATATGCTCATATGCATCTTCACACAAAAAGACATATGCCCTCACCCTTATATTTCCTTGTACAAATGTTCTTTATGGTCTCTGAACATGAATATGACATGGATGTTCAATGAACATTTTAAGTACAAATGTTCTTTATGCTCTTTGAACATGAATGTGACATGGATATTCAGTGAACATTTGAAGGTGATTTTGTTAGTTACTTATATGGTCTTGTCTCTTATGTGACTTTTTGTTGTTGCATATATGATTCTCATAATGAAGTGGCTGTCTTGTTATTATCAAGTTTAAAAATTGCTTATCCCACCACTTGTTATGCTAATAGTGAAAGGCTCAACGAAACCACTGATGGTCTTAGAGAAATATGCAATCTCAGGGATCTAAGTGATCCACTAGCTAGAGGTTTCCTAAGCTGCATTTATGTGCACCATTGTGACTCATTGATCATTTAGTCAATAACCATTTTGTTGGATGTCTAGTGTTATTAAAATGAAGTGATATTCTCTATAACTAAGATTCTTTTAATATGATAAACTCCTCTATTTACATTTGCAGAAGGCCGTCAGATGTGGTTTTGAAAATTTATGAATAATTACTTACTGGTTGATGCATCTCTATCACTACTTTGACTGAGCTTTCTGATTGACATACCCATGAAAGCTAATTGCAATGTGTACGAATCAATAACCTCTTTGTTCAACATATGAATCATTATTATGTTGTAAATATAATAATTTCCATGTGAGCTCTCTTCCTGCAATTCATCATGCTGTTGAGTAAACTGATTTATGCAACAGTTTTCTGAAGGCTTAAATGGTAGTAGGTATGTTGAGGAGCTGTGACAACTTAGATTTCTTAGTTTGCTTGGCAGCATGATGACTATGTTGTTTTTTGGTGTATGTATATGTGGTCAATAACTTAAACATAGCATAATCTGGTTTTGTCCGTCATACAGTTGGATACTGATAAAACACAGTTAAGAGGGCCAAAAAACAATGTTGAAAATATACAGTTATATAAGTTTTTTAAATCAATGCTGAGATCTTAATTTTGTCTATTGTACTTATGTCTGAATTTTCCATATAGGGATTAACATATCTAGAACCTTTTCTTCCATTAGACTGTGATTTATAGGGTGAGATTTGACATGCTTGAACTTTCAAAATGTATAAACTGCAATGACTACACTATTGTGCTCACCAACACTATATGTTGCTTCTCAAGTGTTTGAATTCTAGTGAGTTGACTTGGCATGCCAGTTTATATAGAGATGAATAATGATCTTTGATTTACCTTAACTGACAGGAGCATGCTGAATTTTATTCACAAATGATGGTACGTGGGGGATTACGATCAACTATTGAGCCTGATTCAAGTGTAGTGTAAACCAGTCAAGTTTATATGTTCTATGAACTGCAACAAGCAAAGACTTGGCAGTGACAATTTTGGGACTTGATTTAGACCCAGACAGTAAAGGGAAAATTAAATGAAATGGGGAGAGATGGTATACAGCATCTATACTTCATTGTGAGGACTTTGAAGACTTCAAATTCAAATGCAGCAGTTAGAATACAGTTTTTGTCGTCTGCTGTGTACAGTTTTTGTTCCACTGATAGCTTTAGGTGTTGATCTCTCCCATATGTTGTAAAAACAAGGAAACCCTAAAATGGTCATTTAACAACTTGGTGGTTATACTCCAGTATGCTGCAGAGTGCAGGGTTAGTAAAATGCTTACTTTCTAATGCTTGATGCTGCTTTTTCTCGACTCTCAGAAATGGTCCCAATACTTGTCTCTTTCTTTAATCTAGGATTACCAGAATTAGGAAGGTACAAATAAATATTCCTTTCTTCTCATGTGAAAGGGTGAATGCCAGTTGTGGCTTATGACGTGGAATTAGGAGCTGACATTACGTAATAGGACAGATATATGTAACAATTCCCTGGAGACTCGTTTAGCTTTATGTCTAATGAACTATTTTTAGTCATTATAGTAATGAAATTTTAGAGTGGGTTTGCTTTTAATCAGTTTTTGGTACTTACAATTATCTACATATCACCATTGCAAGCCTGCACCTTCTAATTACATTTCTACGAGTGCATCATCATCCTCACTCGCAAGTTGAGATTAAGATTCACTAGCTAATATTATTGAGGGATTCATTTCTCTAATTAACTCTTCTAATAGCAATATTTTTGGTTCACATCTAAGAAGAAACGTTTATGAGTCAGCTTACTGGGCTTTCTCCTAATCCCTCCTCGCCTTCTTCTTACCTTTAATTAACGTTTATATTATGTATAGATGTGAAGTAGTTGGCTAATACCCTAAACCCAAATAATAATAATAAACTTATAATCTATAAAAAAAATTATTTGAACATTTTTTGCTGTAAATATTACATTTTGATCATTAACATTGTAAATTTAACATTCTCAAGTGAAGAAATATTGGTTAGTAAATGTATTTTCAAAATTTGAGTGACCAAAGTAAAAGGTTTTATGATTGTGAGTAACAATTGATGTAATTTATTCTTTTCTATTCTACGTTAAAGAAAAGAGAGAAACAATTTCTTTATATATCTATATATAGATATATAATTTTTAGTTTACTATACCAAGCATCCATGTGCCTTTTTTTTTTTAACAAAAATTCTTTCACTTTCATATCTTTTACTGCCTTTTCGCTTTTGAGTGGTTGATGATCCATAAATGCATGGACTACAAGAGATAAAGTTACAAGTTTTTTACTATTATTATACGTAATTAATAATACAACTTTAATTAAAAAATGTTCAAGTCTTCAAGGGAAAGTGAGATTATTTTTAAACTAATATTTTAATTTAAAAGTTTAAAAGATTTCAAAAGAAAAATTTAAAACTAATATTTTAATTTTAAAAGATTATTTTAAACTACTGCTCCTTAAAGGCAAACTGATCCAACTGCATGGGATTTATGGAACTGCTACAGCCACCAGCAGCTTCTAAAAGGATCTCAAAAGAAAAATAATAGTAAAAGAACTCATCGTGATCGTCACCATTCAGGCCTATAACATCAACTAATTAATTGTGAAAGTCATACATGTGATGTGAATGATGATTAAATATGTATTAAAAAGTAATGGAGATCTTAAAAAACTTTTAATAACGTCATTAAATATTTTTAATATAGCTTTTTTTTTTGGTAACCAAATACTAGAGGTAGACTTCAAATAAGGGAGAAAAAAGGAAAAAATAAGATTGAAATTGGAAGAATCCAAAGAGAAGAAAAGGTTGGTGGCTGTTAGGCAATAGAACTAAACAGTTGCGTGGATAAGGACAATTTTAAGGATCCATGGCCTGTCTGTTAAATATGCAGCAAAATCCAGACAGGATATTCCCAGAGTTCTCCACTCTAATCAAAAGATTGATTATCGGATTCACTAACAATGGAAAAAAACAAAAAATGATTTGTCTCCTTACTACTTGTTACCAAAAATGCGATTCCAAATCTTTTCGATCCTCTAGGTCTCTGCAACTTTTAGTTAATATTTCCTTTTGTTGTGCTCTTTTAGTCATCCTATTAAGAAAGTTTGAGAGCCACGCCTTCATCATGAACAAAGGCTGCTTATCCATTCGAGACTTGATAAAGCTTGATTCATAATCAATTGTGAATTTGTAATTAAGTGCAACGACAAATGTTTCGCTTGGACAGATTCAGTCGTACAGGCGTGCTCCATGATGTGAGCTGCCCATAGTTGTCTGATCCATCTAATTCTTCTACTCTAACTACATCAACTTTATACCATCACAAGTCTTGAACCATGATGGAAGACTTCTAGTGGCATATGAAACCTAGCTTATAAGAAAAACTCTGTACAGTTACAAATGATTTCAGATGCTCAATAAGAAGTTGGCACCTACTCTCAACTAAGACCTCTACTGTACCCAAAAGCTTGAGTTAATTTCCTAATGCTCATATGCAAACGGAAAAATACTGAAAGTCGTAAGAAGGCCTAAACAGGACAGAATCATGCAGGCCACAAAAATCAACTTCGAGCCTTGAGAATTCAATAAGTTGATGAGAGCTTTCCTTTGTTTTGAACCACCCTGTTGACACATTCCACTTTGTTCTCGGTTACTCGTCAGCTAGTTCATCAATCCAGTGATTTGGCTTTCCACTTAGTTCCCGTTTGATCATCAACTTACTGTATATTATATAATAAACACTTTGTCATCAAGAGTAATTTCCCAGCTTTCCCAAGCTAATTCTGAGTTCTCCTTCTAAGTAACTTATTTCTACAAACGGATATTATTATCAGAATTTCTATTATCAATTTATCATTTTTATTAACTTTAGAAGCAAAACAAATAAAAAAAAGTAAATAAAAACAAACATGGTAACAATTTTATTAGTATCCCATTCATGGTTTTTTCTTTTTTTTTTGAAAGGTCATAACTGGAATTCATTTCTTTTGGTGAAAATTTCACCAAGAGCTTTATAAAAGAGGTGAATTTATGGAACTATACTCACAAGTTGCGGCATACCAGCACAAATCCATCCAAAAGGAAGAGAGCTCCCTGTTCAAAACAATGGACTATCCCATTCATGTTACTACTATAATAAGTAATAACATTTTTTTTGAAAGGCTTAATATGGATATATTTCATTAAGATGGTTACAACTTGCTGCCATAAGGCTTTGTTCCTGTACATCACAGACTTACCACAGCAAACCACAACCTTGAAAGCTTTAGAGGTGGCTAAAGCATTTGCATACAAACCTGGATTACTATATGCTTGACAAAAAATAACGGAACCCAAGCCACAAATTGCTAAACAACAAGATCATCCAAGTCCCTTTTGATGAAGGTTAAATTCGTGAAGCTCCTCCCTTACCCCGACAAAAATCTTGTAATCCAAAAGCTCTCAAATCAAGTGACTTCCTTCACCTTTAATCTTTAAACTTCAGTTCATAAGACCCATTTCCGTGACTGAAAATTGATTCCAGTAACCTCTTTAACCAGACCGTTCCATAGAGGCCATCATTCCTAGTCGTACATGTGAGGGGGAGGAGCACATGTTAATAAAGAAATTTTGACAACTTGACAAAAGCAATGTGCATACAGCTTGACAAATACAATGTATTCTTAGCATCATCATCACTCCCACGTTCCTAACTTGTCACACATCATTGGTGTCTGAATGACTACGCATATCTGAGCTCAATATTTGTAGTTTCCATGCATCTCGATGACTTGAGTCAACTTAATTAATATTAACAAATATATCCTAATGGTAATTTCCTCCAAAATGAAAAAAAAATATATGTTAGTCTTCTCTAAACTTGAGTTTTTTTTGTCTTCTTTGCATTTTCTTCTCCACTTCCTTTTCTCTTTATAAAGAGCACCATCTCAGAGATATGAGATATCTCTGGTTTGTTTTGAGCTAATGATAAAAGGTTTTTTTCTTAGACAGAAAACAGTGATGAATTAAATTGCAGTTTTCAATTTTTTACTTTGAAGAAGAGAAGATGTTTCAAGCTGGATTTAGATTCTGTCCCACGGATGAAGAGCTTATCGAAATCCTGATAAAAAAAGTATCTGGAAATAAAACGATGCTTTTTGATCTCATTGTTGAAAGAAATATTTATGAATTAGAGCCGCAAGATCTTCAATGTCTGCATTCTTTTCTTCTTCTTTACTCATATATTAATTTTCTCATAACATCAAATGCAAACCATAAATCTCTTTTTTGTCTGGTTTCTCTATATATGTTTCTTGTTTAGCTGCATGTCGAGACTTATTAGCATAAAAAAATGAAATATTAATGCGTAAAGCTATGATTTTAGGTGTCCTAGGGTCCATGTCTGAGAGTGCAAAGGAACAGAATCGCGTGTTTCATGGAACATTGCATCAATCAGATCACAACAACAATCATGCTTCCCATGTTTCATCCATCAACTTAATTATCTCATCCCATCGTCTGTAGCCTGTACTGAACTGACTCCCTTCCCTTGACATGGCTCCCAAAATCCCACAATCTGTACTATATATAAAGTTGCTACAGTAAAAACCAGTAAATGGAAACTAATATTATATATGCCTAGTCATCCTTTCTTTAATTATACTTTGTGCAGGGATTCAAAATGCGGCCTTAAACAACAACGAAAAGTATTACTACTGTAAGAGGGAGACTGAATCCAGAGAAGTGTCGGGTCGAGGATGGTGGAAGGCCACCAGTCAACTAAAGCAATTTGTTCATATGTTTTTTGTTTGTTGGGTTTTTATTCATATGTTTTGCCTCAGTAGAACCATCTGAACTGCAACAGAACACAGGCACATCTTTTTCAATTACTGACCATACACCCTCAGCAATGCTACCATTCTGCAAGGCACAATTCTCTTTCCTCAGGTCAATTAAAAAAATAGCAACTTTTGAAACTGGCCATCCCTTTGTGCTTGGAACATCCCTTGATGCATCTAAACTTGTAGATATATCACATGCATCCTTGATGGCTTTCTCTGTCAAGGAAAGCTGCTTCTCAAGGTCACTCAATTCGGTATCATCAGACCTTAGCATGAGATTCATATATGACTTCAGATTTGGTTTTGTAACTAAAGCCAACTTACAAAATGGCTCAAAACCAAGATACTCCAAGTGTGGATGTCTTTGCCGGTGATAATAGTTGTAAAGCAACACAACAGCATGCACCTAAAGGAGAATTACAAAAGAAAAAGAAGAAATATAAGAGTTGGATTATACTGACCACACA